TCCTTAAGATCTACAGTTAGGTTATTGATTTGAGATCTGTCTTCTTTCTTAATGTATGCATTTATAGTTATAAATTTCCCTTTTAGCACTGCTTTCACTGTATCCCATATGCTTTGCTATGCTATGTTTTCATTGTCATTTGTCTCAAGGTATTTTCAAATGTCCCTTGGGATTTCTTCTTTGACCCACTGGTTAAGAGTGTGATAGTTAAATTTCCATATATTTGTGAATTTTTCTGTTTGGGCAACTTTTTTTTATTCTTCACCTGAGGATATTTTTTCCATTATCATTATTATTATTTTGGAGAGAGGAGAGAGGAGAAGGGGAGAGTGAGAGAAACACTGATGTGAGAGAGATATATCGATTGGTTGCCTCCTGCATGTGCCCTGACCAGGTCCTGGAATTTAACCTGCAACTGAGGTATGTGCCCTTGACTGGGACTGACCGGGAATCAAACCCTTGACCCTCCAGTCTGTGGGCCGATGCTCTAATCACTGAGCCAAACTGGCCAGGCAGCAACTTCATTTTAAATAGCTCTAGCAGATTTCTCATCATTTCTCTTGGAAAGGCTGGCGTATAACAAAACAGCCCTTAACAACTTTTTCTGCTTTTGAGCTCAACTCTCTTAAATATTTAATCTCAGCATCCTCTTTGGCTTGTCCAACCTCTGGTGTTCCCTTGGAGAGACAGGCAGGTCACTCAGGTCAGCTCACTAGAGTAGATACTGGTGAAATATAGTGATTTCGTTGGTAGTATAACACTGCACCACACATATGACCCCACTGTGATAGACCAGCTATAGCTACTTATGACTGGGATAAAATGATCACTCAATCTCATGGTCATTGGCAGTAGGGCCAGGGTTTTACCTTATTAAAAGAACTGTCTTTTGTTTTTATTAGAAAAAAATATTTCTACACTAGTAACTCATTACTTATTTTTCTGGATGTTTTTGGAGAGATACAGTGAAACAGTTCATGCACCTTATTAGTTTACAAAATGTGGGGAAGGTAAGCAGAGCGGGGCCTTTGGAAACATAAGCTTAAACACTTAACATTGTTATCAACTGATATCCAAAAGCTGTGCAATAGGACAAACATTTGTATCTTGTGTTAAATAAAAAAGGTTTCATTTAAAAATCCCTAAATTCTTACAATTTAAAAATTCTCAAATTGCTTACAAAGTCTAATTGGACTTTATCATATATTAATGAGTCTGGTAGTATGTCGTTCTTTCCTATATATTCTCTGTGATCTTTAACAAAACGCTGGGAGTTGGTTTCTCACTCTCACTCTATAGAGGGGACGTAATGACTCAGACAGGTAAAGTAACCTGACCAAGGTCGGATGGCTGGGAAGCAACTGCGCTGGGCCAAGTCCACAGTCTTTGAATTTTCCACTTCAGCCTTTTTCAGTCCATATTTTTGGCCAAAACATATATAATGTGATGGGTACTGAAACATTTTCAAGTTACAAACGTACAATGGTTTGGTAGGTGCTTCAATCAATTTAAAGCAAATTATTTGGTGGTATAAGGGGCAATTTCCTTTTCATTTAATTTTCATACATTCTGTTAATAATCCAGATACATGACATTTGAAATTATTCATTCAATAAATATTTGCTGAATAACCTTGTGAGAAGAGCTTTATTAGAGACTGAAATGAACACTAAAACATCCTCTCCTAAGGAACTTTAATTTGGCATGAAAACAGGATATATTTTTTAAATCTTAAAGTAGTGATTGTATCTTACCTTTTGGCAATTTGTGTGTTTTTTAGGGAGAATTCAGAGGTGGTAAAGCTTTCAGGAGATAAGACTGCAATTGAACTCTCAGGAGACAGGTAAGATCTGGATATTAATTTCAGTGCTAGAATCAGTGGTACCTAAAGTCTTGTTAAATTGAACTTAGCTGACATTTACTGAATTTGTACCTTGCAACATCTTTCATGTAGTCCTTCCAGCTGCTCTATGGGACATGGACTATGATGATTTCCATCCTACAGGTAAAGAAGCTGAGGCACAGGGAGGTTAGGCGTCTTCTTTACGGTCTCCCATGTACCACCAGTACTGGAAGAACTGACTCAAGCCCAGAGAGCACAGGGCCACCATGTTACATTGCCTCTTGGGGAGACGGGTGATACACTGGGTGCAGCACATCCCGCAGCAGGACTGACCACTGCAGCACAGAGGATGGGGACTGGGCGGCCTGGCCAGGGCACAGGGCGCTGTTGGTTGAGAGCTGTGGAAAAGTGCCTTTCATAGGTAGGGCTCAGATTAGGAGGAACCACGAAACCCAAAGAGCTTGAGACTTTGTTCTATAAGCAGTGTGCTTTGCTTTAAAAAGATGTGCTTATATAAAATTTAAAACCCAGGTGTGATGGACTACATGTTTGTGTCCCCCCAAAATCCCTATGTGAAACCTTAACCCCCAATAGGATGGTATTAGCAGGTGTGATCTTTGGGATGTAATTAGGTTTAGACAAGGTCATGAGGGTGGAGGTTCCATGATGAGATTTGTGTCCTTTATAAAAAGAGCAAGAGACTAGAGCTCTCTCCCCCCAGGTGGGAGGAAGTCTGGAAGAGGGCCCTCAAGCAGAACCTGACCATGCTAGCACCCTGATTTCAGACTCCCCAGCCTCCAGGACTGAGAGAAATAAATGTGCATTGGTTAAGCCATCCAATCTATGCCATTTTGCTACAGCAGTTTCCCAAACTAAGACATTAGGGAAATGTCTTTCTCCCAGGGTCAAATATAAACATTCACTTCAAATCATGAACTAAGAAATGGACCAGGTTTAAAAATAAAAATATTCAAAAGTGCCACCTCCACCCAGCAAAGACCTCAAGACTGGAGACGCTGGGTGTGCGCTCTGGGAGTTCCGTCCCCTACACGCCTAGCGTCCCTCTGCGGTCCCTCTGCCACTGGCCTCAGGCAGCGATGCAATGAATGATGGGAATGACAGTTTTGCCCCACTCACCACACATCAATTACACGGCATGAGAATAGAAAGAGGAAGAGCACATAGTTATAGATGGCAGGGCCAGAGTTCATGTGGAGACAGGGATTCTACTACATGTGGGCCACGGAGTCTCAAGCACTTCTGACCCTTGCTCTCCACACAAAGCCTCTTCTGTCAAGACTTCCAGAAGAGGCTTTCTTCTCATACATTCCTTGCACCAGGGTGACTCGTCTTCCCATGGTGCAGTGAGAAAATGATGGGCCATGGCCTTCCTGGGACTGGAGTCTGTGTGCTACTTGCCCCATATTTACCTCTGAGTGGGGTTCCGTCACCTGTGAAAGGAGCATGAGACTCACCTGGCAGGACTCCTGTGCATGTTAGATAAGAGGAAACCTATCAGCAGTGCCTCATATATAGCAGCTTCTCAAAAGTGGCTTTTCGTTTTACTGTTTAAGGAACTTAAAGAGATTAGTGCTTGGATCTAAGAATTGAAGTTAATTGTACTCAGAAACTTGGCCAGAAATAAGCACACATATTGGTTTTGGCTAGATTTTTGATACAGAAAACTCATCAGTTCATGCTAGGACCAAACAATCCCGTGAACACTTTGGTCCTCCAGAATCAATCTGGTCTATATTGCCCCAATTTTGTGCCACCCTTCGAAAACAGGCCATCCAGCTCTCCTTTTGACATTCTCTTGGGACTAAATCCTGAGTCATTCAGAGATAAAGCCTATGCACTGTTATGCTCACCATGTTCACCCGTGTAAGGCTAAGTGCACGATAGTGTCTATGCTGTGAGTGAACCTGCATGAGTTTGCTCTAACAAACTTGTGAGCCCAACACCTGGGTGTCCTTTTGCTTTCAAGCCCGTTTTGCACCAGAAGCACTGACTTTTCTCCCCTCTGAAATGTAAACTATATTTCAATGTAAGTTGCAACTATAAGAAAAATCAGTAGCATGTGACAGAGAACCTGTTCCAAGGGCCAGTCTGCCTCTTAATAAACTAACTGGCCGAAAAGGGAATCAACTCCCCTAACAAGCAAACGCCTTTAACAAACTGGGGTGGTAACCCTAGTAATTATGACAGGGAGGCCGCCAAACAGAGAAAACAAGCTCAGGTTCCAAGCTCTGACACCACGAACTCTTTCATCTCATAAAATGGGTTCACCACTTCTTTCTCTGCCTGCGTTGCGGGGCTTTGTGAAGATTAAAGAATGTAGGTCAAGCACAGAAACTGCAAACTGCTCAGCCTCATCGCACGGGCCACGTGTGAAGTAAATGTGCATCCTGCAGACACCAGGCATAAGCCACTGCTATTCTAACTTCCATCAGCAAGGAATCTAGTATCATGCCCGTGCCATTCTTGTATATTAGACAAAAATGCAATGTTAGGTGTCAAGGTATGTGCAGCATCACATCAGCTCCTTGTAGGGTGCTCTCTGGCTAAGGGCCAGCAAAATCAGCATGCTAATGTCTCAGACAGGATGGGACCATCATCGCGACAAGCTTTTCATCCGAGGCCTGGGTGGAGGTGGCAAAAAGGCTCTTCTGATCTATACTCTTTCATTTCCTGATAATCCAAAGTAATAACCAACAACTTAACTTTTGAACCTTATATATCTTATCCTTGGCCCCTTATTCTACTAAATTGCTTTTACTAAATTTGTCTTTGGGGGCCACGACTTCATTTTTCATCAGGGAGTCCAACGCAAGTCACTGCAATCTACTGTTGCAACAGCTATCCTGTCAAGGTTTAGCTGAGGACATTACCCTGGTGCCCTCTTTGTGAAGGGCGAAGATGACATTTCTTTCAGACTGACAGAAAGGTGAGTTATCTTTTTCACCTTAAATCCAAGGGCAGGAAAAATAACACTCAGTTTGTTTACAGTCCCATTAACTGAAGGTTATCAACTTATTTTAAAAATAGTGCTTGAAAAAAATAACCCACTTGTGGTTTTAATAAGTGTTTAAGACTAAATAAATTTTTTAAATCTTTAAAGAAAACCATTTTTTAAAATTGAAAGAAACAGTAGTACTGATTTTGAAAAAACTGTTGATGTCACGGTGGTTTATTGGGTAAATACAAAGTAGAGGCTCTTGCTTTTTTTTAAAGCAAAGCCAAAGAGATTAGAAACCAAGTACATATATTCTCTTTAGAATAAAAACATAAATTAGTTTTAACTAACAATTAGGCACTTAAAATGTAAATGTAAAACAACATTTTGAAGTACAAACTATAGTTACACTCCTAAATTCCTCCTGAAATGTTTTTTACAAACACAAAAGCACAAGCATGGAAAACATACTTCTAAACAAAGATAATTTCCTCTCTTAAAAAAAAGATCCTGAATTCAAATCCCATATGATAGACCAATGATTAAGGTACTTATGGGTAGGAGAAAAGAGCTTCTGAAATTCACATATTTGATTAAAACATAAGCATTTAATAAAACTATTACAATAACATACAGTATATATCATAATGAAAAATATATGTCAGGAAAATAATGCATTCTAGGCTTAAAATTTTACTTTACAACAAGGCACTTAACACATTGAAACATACAGTAAATTTCTGAAAGAATGCAATAGGCCACCTCTCAAACCTTGTGATATTTCTTTTGTGAATATACTATAATAACATAACCATACATTTTGCAGCATTAATCATTGCATAGGAGGTAAATTAAATAATGAATCCCAACTTGGCAACTAGATTAGCTAATATTTATAGCTTCTTATTCTCTTACAGGACAATTTTAAATGACAGAATAAAGAACTATTCTTATTCATGATTCATTTAAAACACAGCATAGTTAGATTAATGAATAATAAAATAAACCGTAACTCATAAGGTATGTATCTGTATAAAAACTTCTCTTTGGGTACCTTAGACACGATTTTCAGTGTTTGGGTACTGAAGTCAAGAGCACTTCTTAATAGACAAAATATTTTTAGCAAGTCAAATGAGTTAAATTATTGCAACACAATGACATAAAAAAAAATACCATGAATCGTTATACAAATAGAAAAGCCTTCAACACATGGCATATTACTTTCAATATGCTTGATTTAAACATGGAAACACATTTATTAAGAAATTCCTTCTTACACTTCCTTATAATACAGAAGTGTATTAAGACCGGCTTAAATTTTTAATCAGTTTTACAGTGCAAAACAAAATTAACAATAAAAAAGAATTTTAAAAAAATGTTCAAAATATTTAAGGAACAATATGTGAACTTTCAATAAAAAAAGAAACCATGAATTATATAGCATGTAAAAAAAAAAAAAAAAAAAAAAAAGGCAGCCAACCTGGTGTTTCAAAGTAAACAGTGTTGGTAGTTATAAAGGGAGACATTAACGATTGTGATGGTGAGAGGTAAAAATGGTCTGCAAGTTTTCTTGATCAAATGAATACAAGATTAGAATTGCAACTCCCTGTGATCTAAAGTACATTTTCCCTTTGGGAAAGGTTTAAAATACCTTTAAAATAATTCTTTTTGCATTATGCTTTCAGATTATTGAGGGGGGAACCCCCCAAACATGTCTTTTAAAAACTTGAAAGTACACTTTAAAAAGTGGCAAGTTTGTGTTCCAAATCATATATTTCCACAAGGGGGTGCTGGTACACAGCAAAGAATGTGATGCAGCGTCATCCTTAAACCAGAGACTCGCCCTCACTCAAGACAACAGCCTTCCTTCCATAGCAAACCTTGTTTCCCAAGATGCCAGCAAATTAAGTAACAAATTCAAACTTACTTCCAGTGGAATTGGGGAAGAATGCTTTATTTTCAGAATAGTGGAGGAGCTCAAAAAATAGAATCTGAAAGGAATTAATTTCCATTTCAAAGAATTTAGAAAAATGGTATAACTTTGAGGAATTATATGTTATAGATACTGCACAGAGGACTAAATTATAGGAAAAGCTTCAAATAAGAGTACTAGTTCACAAAAACAAGAATAATCTATAGGATGTATCTTGATTAGCAAGGAAAAGGAGCTCCAAAAATGTATCTCCAAAGGTAAGATCGAAATTTTTTAAAATTGAGATACAATCGACCCAGTTTCAGGTGTACAACAATGATTCGCTATTTCTATACACTGCGAAATGATCACCACAGAAAGTCTAGTAATTGTTCATGTTTTATATTCCAAAGTGGCATGTTGGGTCAAACCTCAAGTTTGCTTTCAAACTGAATGTAAATGAGATTCACTATTTCTCTTGAAACTTTGGTATTTCTGCCTCTACCTTATTTTGCTACCACATGCTTCCAGGGCATCTATGGGAGCAGCAGTGTCCACATGTGGGGTCAGAGATGTTTTTAAAGCTTCTTTAAAAGATGATGGCATTATTTAAAAAAAAGAAGAAGAAGAAACTAGTTACTTGACTAAAATGCTAGGTTTAACTGTTTCAAGGGTCTCCAATAATCAACTCACCAGGATCTGAAAAGCTTAAATACACTTCCTAATTTAGTTCAACAAAAAGTGGGCTATCTAAGATGTAGCGGAATAAGGCTCCAAGGTATACCAGGTTGTCTTATTTAAATTGGAGCTCAATATACCTGTGCTGGGAGAGCAAAACCCAGGCTTCGGTGTCAGACACTTTTCCTCACAAATGGACAACAGGAACCCAAAATCAGCATTTTCAGGCAGAACACCTTGTTCTATCACAAGTATCAATATTTAGTAAGAGAAAATCATGTAGAATTATGGCTAACCACACCAGGTAAGGTATAGATATGTTTCTTATTGGATTAGTAATAAATACCAGGAAAACTACTTGCATTTCAAAACCTGCCAAGAGGTTTATGGTTTCGTTTCTTGTTTTAAATAGCCAGATTAGAGAATCCTTCCTGGAGTTGAATTCTACTTTGTTTCCGTTGGTGATTCTTCTGTTTCACAGAGCAAGAGCTACACTGGAAACACAAAATTCTAGCACCAAAGGATGATGACCCTTCCGAACACATCTAAGTTTGTACTGCACTTCTCTCATGCAATTTAAAGGCCAATTCTGTATATCCAAACAGGGCTGACTAGGCCATAATGACGAATTCAGGGTTTTTTGGTTAATTTTTCATTCTAAGTGGAGGGAAATTTTTACCTTTGACATAAATGTAACTGCCTCTTTCTACCCCAGCTGGCCCTCTGCTCTCTGTGTTGATGATTTTGTAACCTTAGGTCTTTTTCTAAAGTTACTAGAAATTGTAAGAAATTAAGAATTATCCACAAGACCCAACAGCGTTAAACAATGCACTAAGTCTGACAGCATCAAATCAGATCAAGTCCATCCATCTTGCACCACCTGAAAGAACTTTATAAACAACGAGCCCCCTTTATAGATTAGTGTAACTGCCTAACACCCTGATTCCAACAGTAGGTTATAGTGCAGCACCGTGGTGTAATTTCAGGGTCAAAGTAAAACGACTCCATTGCGGTATGTCTCCTTAGTCCTTCCTATAAACACTCCTTTTATAAGAAGCTGAGCCTCTTGCAAAAAGGCAAGGATGCAATAAGCTTTTAGACTTCATCTTGGTTTTTCCATAACGCAAGAATGTAACTGGAAATGGGTTTTCAGTAAAATGTGACCAACGGTATTTCTGAGTTCCAATGAGCAGCTCTGAAACAGACCTCACCCAGGGCGAGACCTGGGACAGGAACGCAGGCTTGTTCCCCGCGTGGCAAGTGGCACGAGCATCAGTTCACGGGAGTTTCCAGCCCGTGCTCAGCAGCCGGTGCCCTGGGGCTGCCAGGTGCAAATGTCCTAGGCAGATAGCAGGCAAGTGTGCAAACAAGGACCACTGTGAGCGGAAACAGCCCCACATTTCCTGTGCATCTGTCATGGAGATCTTAAAATCAAATATTTACACACAAGTAAAATCTGTGGGGTGTGTCAAATATTTCCATATTTACTTAGATCACGTTTCTTTAATGTTTTAAATAAAATTATCAGTTTAAAAAAATAAAGTCAAAGTGACACACAGTACATTGGGTGGTAGCAGCAGTACATATTCGCAGACCTACCCCCGACCTTCCCCCTGATAGGGTAGAAATAAGTTCACCCCAAGTTTACTCACAACCCCTGGATCTCCCCCTCACTCACAGGCCTAATGCTCAAATCCACTCTCAACATTAGGTTATTCTATTTACACAGCAGTTGTTATCTGTCCAGATAGTTTATTTAAAACACTGACAAAATTCTTCTGACCTTGGAGGGGAAAAAAGTCCTGAAAAAATTCTTTAGTGGGGAAAGACTAAGGAAAGGAGGAACGCGTCCTTTGGCACCTCTTTAACAAGCTCATCTGTAAAGTCCCAGGTGGAGGGCTTGTCACCGTGTATGAAGAGCCAGGAGAAGGTAACTTTCTCAGGATGAGTAAAAAACCAGGCAAAGGGCAACACTTTCTTCACCTTTCTAATCATTTACACAAAATTTGGTCCACTTCTTCATTCACCAGTCAGTTCTCCTAAAATAAACAAAACAAAACTATACCTTTGGTTACAGTGCCACCTCTTTTGGTCTAAGAGCCGATGCCTTTGTCTCGCTCCTCAGGTAGACTTCTCGTTGTCCTCCCCGGTCTTCTGGACCCGGGAATACTTCTTGCAGGATGACTTAAAGCAGCCGGGTGGCCAGGACAGTGGCCAGGAGAAGCAGCAAGGGACGGAGCCTTGTACGTTTTTCTCAAAAAAATAAAAGATGGGGAACCACCAGGCACGAGACAAGAAATTAGTCTGTGAAGAGACCTTCAGGTTCTGTAAAAGGCGGGGGAAAGTAAAATGAGACATATTTTTCATGACTTGCATCCTGATTTTTTCCCCCCCATTAATTAAACTGTCACTTGCTTTGTAACTCAGCAGGGAGGCGGCAAATTCCGGATCACAGGCCTCTTCCCTGACTCTGATGCAACCTGGTCCCACTGCCTCCCGGTCCCCTCCTTCCCTCTGTGGCTTATGCCAGCCTGCCTGGCTGCCTGCACTTCTAGTGACAGTGGAGACTTGGGAATGCATGTGGCAGTCACCCAAGAGAAGCCACTTTCAGGAAGTAGGAGCGGTCAGATCTGTGGGTCAGGGAAGAGGAAGGGTGGAAGGAGAGCTCACGAGGTTGAGCATAAGAGGAAAGTTGAAAATTTTGTTTCCGTGGTGTCAGCAGACAACTAAATGGAAGATGGACATAGGAGACTACAAAACAGGAAACTGAGCTACGGGACAAATCCACAGAAAGGGCATTTATTAGTGGACACTATGGAACGAGAACTGGACTTAGATCCTTTGGGAAGGACACGTTCCAATCTCTCCCAAATTTTTCAAACACTATATGCATCAGACAATACGGCGGGACTACCCCAAGATAAGTAACTCATGGCACACAGACTATGTCACCCAGGACACACCAAGGCTAGGAAAGCACAGGGAAGCGGGGTGGGGGGGATGCCATCTCGGGACCGGAGGCAGGGAGTAGTTTGGGAAGGCTTCCCAGAAGAGGTGGCATTTGAGCCAGCTCTTTCAGGATGGGTGGGAGAAGAAGAAAAGTTCACCTGGAAACAGGATGAAATAAGAATAAGGGAAGCCAGAGAGCACAGCATCACCAAAACATGTGCTAAATCCAGTTATTCATAAGGGACTTAGTTTGCCTTTCAAAAATAGTTGCCATCTTGTTCTCAAAACTAGGCCCTCTGAAGGCAGGGAGTCTCTCAACTAGCTGCACCACAGCACTCTACAGCGAAGGCCTTTACATTTTAATTTAGTATATGCACTGCTTTAATTCTCGTATAAACTAGTCAGATTAGTACAGCACCTGCTCTATAATCACACACCATTTTTATCCTTAAATGTCACATTTGTGACATTATTTTAAGAAGCAATAATGGATATAAGTTTAAGAAGTGAACTGACCTAACCACATACTTGGGCAGCAACAGCAGTTATTCCCGTTAAGCTACCAGAACCCGCACTGTATGAAAAGGGCCCCACTGCATTTAAAGACATTATCCAAGGATAATTTCGCTGCACTCACCTTTTCGTTGGCCATAGAGTGGTACCACCAAAACAGCCGCGTGGTGATGTAATAGGCCACGATGACGTCGACAGTGTAGTGCTCGTGAGCTACGAGGATGCAGATGATCCCAGCGGCGCTCAGCAGCCAGCAGACTAAGTGATACCACCAGAAGTGACGGGGAGAATCTGCACAGGAGAAAAGCTGGGGAGTTAATAAGATTCCCAGGGAGGGACTTAATGATTGGTCTATGCTAATGGCCTTAATTAGAATAATCTAAGGTCAACAAGTCTCCGGAAGGAGAAAATAACCCAAAATGAGCAGCTGTTAATAGGCTAGGACTTGCTCAGGTAGGAAGAAGGGGGTACCACTGGTAGCAGGTCTACCAGTCATTCCCTGGGGAAGCTGGTAATACTGGAAACTCCAGGCCTTGCCCAACTGCTAAGCTGTTTAATAAGGAAGCAAACAGAATTGTATCTTACTAGGTTGGCTGGATTGACTCACATAAGGGATCCCACTGGAAAGAAACAGTAGGGGGGCCAAAGGAAAAGGTAGCTGTCAATGAACATGGGGGTAAATATAAGAAAGCAGGAGTAATAATTTCAGGTCTTATAGAAGCTTAAATTTCTCCACAGGGAGGAAAATGCATGTGGCTAGCAATCTTATACTGTGACTGCCAACAGCAGCTATAAAGCACGCCCTAGGCAAAGCTCAGGAGTCTTGCCCATTCACTGCTGGATTTCAGCCTTCTTATGAGGCCCCTAGAAGTTCTCACCACCGTGGTGAGTCAGAGGAGAGCAGTCCCCAGGTTAGACAATGACCGCACCCCACTGCCTTCCCACTGTGCTAATGACACATACATGGAGCACAGCCCATTTCTATTAACTTCTCTTTTTTTCTTTAATAACTTTATCTATTTTAAAACTTTGTTAGCTCACAAAGTTAATAATCTAATAAACTGAAATTTATTTGATATTTCTGTTTACACTTATAGTGACATTTACTTTCAAGTGTGGAAGACTGGTTGAAATGCTGAAGGCTCCGTTTCCACAACTTCAGACAAAATACCAAATCGGGTATCATTCAAATAAAAATATATTTTTTTTTGGTAAAATGGCTGTTGCTCTTTTGGTCTTAAGTATTTGCATGTGAAAGTATGATTTTCTAATTCTGAATGTGCAACTCAGTACTTCTCATTTGGTCTATCCTGCCTCTAAGTCCTGGCAGATAACTCACATGGTCTGAGAGTTTTAAAGCTGGGAGAGGCCTTGCTCTTATAGCGGGGAGGCAGGCAGGGGGCAGAGCCAGTCCCCATAACTCTTCTGGTTTGTTTAATCTTTAACATTCTGAGCCCAACACTGAGAAATCTGGAGATGTCGCTAAACACACACTCCCCAGAACCACAGCCCTCAGCCCTCCCTAGAATCTCACACCTGCTTCCTTTGCTTATTACGTCCTGGCACTCACCTTGAAAGTTCAAAATGGCTGAGTCAACCAGAACTACTTTGTAGCCGTTTATCCAAAAGAGGCAAAGCCAAAGTGGTCAACGAGTAAGGAGGTGGCCCGGTGGTCATTTCACTTCCCATGGAAGTGACAATGAGGTTTTAAGGTAGCTGGGAACCCCGGCACTGCTCTTCCCTAAAACACAGTCTCGGTCACGCTGCCACCGTCAGACCAACTGCTTACTAAATGAGAACGCTGGCTGACCCAAAGAACGGATTTAATGTAAACTACCGTGAAACAGAAACGGCTAGATGGCGATCCCCTCTGCTCTCCACGGTACCCAGAGAGGTAACATCAAACTAAAAGCTGATGACACAAATATTAATAACTCCACTGTCTGTGTGGGATCCTAGTCCAGTTGTCACTAGTAATAGAGACAATGGACTTTGTGTGGTAGCAAGGGGGAAAAACAAATGTTTTCTTGACTGGCAGGACATATGGTACTAGGAGCTAGGCTGATTTTTCCAGGCTGATTTTATAGGGAACCTGGGCCCCAATGATAATATCTGCACAGCTATGTGAAGCCCTCTGCTGTTTACCTCAAAATGGTCCCGGTCCCAAGTTTTCATCTGCTCTCATGACTAAACTCAAATCCACTCATGACAACGGGGCAAACAAGGAGAGAGTCCAAACTGATCAAAAGGCAGGAAAGCAAAAATATATATAAACGACTCGTCTAATTCTAGGAGCAGACTCTTCAAGGAAACCACTGGAACCACCGCTTGCTCAGAAGAGTAACAATGGTGTAATTTGGAAAGTGATTGTTTCCTAATTGCATAGGAAATGGGCATAAACGTGGAGCAGCCTGTTTATGTGGAGAACTGGCTTAAAGGTTGAGTTGTATTAAGGTAACAGATTTGCCATTTTACTTCCCATCAAAGACTGGAAAAAGCAGAATGTAATTCTTTCTTTGCTGTATGTAAACTTACACAATTTTAAAAACCTCAAGCCAGCCCTGGCTGCGTAGCTCAGCTGGTTAGAGCGTCGTCCCCATATGCCAAAGTTGCAGGTTTGATTCCCAGTCAAGGCACATACAAGAATCAACCAATGAATGCAACAATAAGTGGAACAACAGCCCTAGCAAGGTCTGCTCAGTGGTTAGACCATCAGCCTACAGACTAAAGGGTCCCAGGTTCGATTCTGGTCAAGGGTAGGTACCTTGGTTTCAGGCTCCATGCCCGGCCCTGTTCAGGGCACATGCAGGAGGCAACCAATCGATGTCTCTCTCTCTCTCTCTCTCTCCTCCTTCCACTCTCTCTCAAAAGCAATGGAAAAAATATCCTCAGGTGAGGATTAAAAAAAAATAAAATAAAAATAAGTGGAACAATAAATCAATGTTTCTCTCTCTCCCCCCCCCCTTCCTCTCTCTCAAAAACAAACGAACAGAAACCTCAAGCCAAAATCAAATCTTGGGAAGAAAATGTCTCCACATACTGCACAGCCTTCATTAAGGTATAAAAATTATCATAAGTTGCCCTGCTATTGTTCTGAGGTAAAAGAAAAACCAATAATGAACAATATACCCAGACTATTCCTTAGTAATTCTATAAAATCAGACAACTTGGGCTCCCAAAAATTCTAAACAGAGCTAAGAAATTAACAGTGTAGTCTCTGGAGTCAGCCTGCTCGAGTTTGAATGCATCCCCCATCCTCCAATCACTAACTGCAGACCACAGGTACATCACTCACTTTATGCTTAAGTTTCCTCTTAGAAAAATGAGGAAAAACAGTGCTTCCTTATGGGGTGTTTGCAGGATTGAGTTAATCTACAGCAAGATGTGAGAAGAGTGACTGGCACAGAGAACTGTTATGTCTACCTGCTGCTGTTAACATCTTGCGCTCTTCAGTTATTTCATAAAACTTGCTCTTGGTTCCTGGGAGTGTTTTCTCTTCATTTCTTTATGGTTTTCAATCCACAGTGGCTTCACTCTTAACATGCAACTCCTCCCTACCCTCATCCTCATGTTCCAGAAGCTTTTTCTGATCCTCAGATTAGAGAGAAGATCTTTTAATTCAAATGCCCCTCTCGCCTGAAAAATGATTGATCTTACATACAGACAGATGGACGTTTTCCCGGCAAAAGCTAGGGGCACATACAACACAAGGCACTCCACCTGCCTCCCAGAACCAATAGCTAAGTATTAGAAATGTAGTGACTAAAATGTAAGGAAGAGACTATCTTCTGCTATTGGTGTGGGGGCAGCCCTGGGCGCCTCCCACCCAGGGAACACAGTGACAGGTGCAGAAGGCCATCCACCTTACAGTCAAGTGTGACGAAGGCCACACACTTAACCCGCTACTCTCCCTGCTCTGAGTTCACATGTAGCATTTACAAAGGAAAGAATTCAGAAGCTACACAATTAACAACAACAACAAAGCCATCTACTGCAGAGAATCTCAACAGTGTCATATTGCCCATAACGCAGAACTTAAACCTAACACTCTAGGCAACCTATGGGGCAAGAGTTCACTTCTGATTGGAAGATAAACCCTGATGTCCACGCTGCCGTTAAATGAAGCCACACCTGTCTGGATTAACGACAGGCCAAGACCTGGGGGAACAGGAAGGAGGGCAGAGGCGTAGGCTGCCCTCTGCTGGTCTCTGCAGAGGACCTCCTCCTCTACAATATGGTAAGTGAAGAGAACTGAGAGAAACTTCTGAAAAACACGGGCATGGGGTGTCTTGGAAGTAGAGATGAAGGTGTCACTGACCAGAGCTTTGTAAAAATGAAGGGAAGCATCACGATTTCACAAGGATTTTGAGATAATGGGCCTGAATATACAATGCCTCAGAAATCTACAAGAATGGGATCACTAGGCAGGGAAAACCAAATACAGCCCACAGTAAACAAGACACCATTCCAGCCACTGAAGCTGCTGAGATGCACAAGCATTTGTACAACGGGGGTTAAGTGTCTAAATTAGGAAAGACACTTCATTCTGGCCTCCACATTGCTTCTTACAAAGAAAAAGACCGGGATTGGCAAAATTTTCCATGAAGATGCCTATTAAACCACAGAAGTCAGCTGGAAGTGATGAAGTTAGAGTAAGGCAGGACAAGGAAATGTTTTAAAAAGGGAAAAACAGTAAATTATTTGGAATGATGGAAGTTTCATACACAATGGAAGTTTCCCTCAAAAGTAATTTACGTTTGGCCTTAGCACTGGTTCTTTTTGCAATAAACAATTGTTCTCCTTGGTTCCATCATTAAAAAGTTTTTCTTACCTTGAGAAGTACTAACCAAGGAGGGAGACCTTTTGGAGGCATGCTAAATGTTAGAGAGAGGCCAGGGCCACGTTTTAATAAGCCTTCCGTGTTTAAATCACATATGACGCTGAAGTGATTGAAAACTATCCCTATCTATCTATCATCTATCTATCTATCTATCTATCTATCTATCTATCTATCTATCTATCTATCTATCTATCTATCTATCTAATTTCTCTTTCTCTCTCTCTCTCTCTCTCTCTCACCCACACACACAGAGCTATCAATTCCCAGAGAATAAGGGCTCCCATTGGTTTAAGGGCCTGGGGATCCCTCCACTAATCAGTCCGTCAAGCGGATGAGTTACTTACATTCTTTGATGAACAAGTAAGTAAGCGTCAGCACAACCGTGTGGCCGCTGAAGAGGAAGTCTCCGCACAAGATGTGCGATCCAGTTATGGACAATCCTCCACCGGAAATCAACCGCAGGATCCGCTTCACTTTTGCCTGAGAGTCTCCGTTGAGCTGAATGACACAAGAAGATCAGGGAAAAGATTTACAAGCTGATAAAATCGTGTTTCAGCCTAATTTGTGTGATACTTAGAAAGGTCACCAGGTTGTGATTTTTAACTTAAAAAGTCAAAAAGAATCCCAGGAGGAAGCTCCCCAAACTGGGTTTTATTCATGGTATTGGCCAGTTTTAGTGACACGTTTTAAATTATTCAATGCATTACTAAAAATATGTTTTGGTGATACTGTGTCCTTGGGCAAAGCTTTTAAAAATATTCATAACCAATGACCTCACCACAACTACGTACTACAAAAGATCAAAGCTACTTTCCTCCTTGTGGGGGGGAGTCAGGGTTTCGATGGCTAATATCTGATTCAGCTGCACAGCACCTTACTAACATGGCACAGTGTACTCGTACCTGGTGTTAAGCACTCGGCCTGAGCATGCACATAGCTCTGTTAACATTCGGTCAAACACAGATTAAAAAGGGAAGCTGCGACACGTTAAAGACTTTAAATAGGTTTGAAAAGAATGAGTAGCTCTGATCAGGAAACACAATGCCCAAAGAAATAACCTGTGTTCAATGGCAGGGGGTCAGGGAAAAGCTCCCTTAGACAAGGCTGCAGGAGCCACTAGAAGCCACCATGATGACATGGGAAACAACAATGGGCTGGGCAGGAGACTGAGGCAATAGTCAGGTTCATATCCCATTAAAATGAAGCCTCCAAGAAAGAGGAGTGGGCTGAGTTGGTCAATGTGGTGGGTGCGGAAAACTGGAATACTGACATGTTGGGAGGCCGGATGGAGCATTTAAGACCCATCTCAAATAAACTGATTATGCTGAGAAAATTAAAGGCTGAGACTCAGACTGAGTAACAGAACACATGAGAAGAGAATTCTAGATAGAGCATTAATGACTCTTACTGGGGGCCAGGGTACAGCTGAATGACATGTGGCCCTTCATACTCAACACTGACCCTCTGGGCAGCTGCCCGCATAGCACGGCCAGCTCACCATGACAGGGGTTCCGCTGTTTACCGGTAAAGACAGGGATGTCTGGTCCAGGTGGATGCACGGTGCTGAAGGAGGGTCAGACAAGCTTAGGCGGACGGAGAGAAATTAAGGCAGCCTCCAAAGCACGTGGAAATCCATCCAGTCCAGTACAATAAGGAACTGGGGCAGGAGTCCTTGCCTAAAACATCCACAACGGGGTACCTAAACCTTCCTGATTAATATCGGTCTTACGGATCTGGAAAGCTTTCCGGGGTTCAGGTGACCCTTGTGAAAAGCAAACATACCACCACTGATTAGCAGCTGAGAACAGGCTCTCCAACAGAAAAAGACGTAAACCAGGATTACAGGGCAGGCTGAGAAACTGGAGGTTTTGAAGAAACTTAACCTTTTTTCAAAAGCTTGCTTAGGGCAAGCCCAGATAATAAAAACCAAGAGAACTTGTGTATTTTTTAATCAAGAGTTGACAGTCCTTCAAGCAAACAGGCCAAATCATAGGTGGCCTGCCCTGAAGAGACAGGCTCTAGGAGGCAGTAGAGGGTCTGCACCCGAGGAAGGTCAGGACGGCTGACAGCTGCAGGACTGTTTCAGGTGCAGCTCGGGGAAGACGCGCTGCCAACCACATGCAGCGAGGGGCTGCGCCCCGTGTGAGGACGGGATCCAGCCAAGTGCTCCACCAGATGAACCACAGCCCTTCAGGAATCCGCCACGTGGTTGGTACAAACAACTGTCAACACTGAGATCAAATAGGAAGGTACATGCGCTCTGACCAACCACTGTGTTCCCAGTTTAAAAGGACTCCTTATTCTTTATTTCCAAACCATAATATTTTTTTTTACCCACTCACTCATCCCAACTCAATACTCTCATTTTCTAAGGGCAGAAACACATAGGGCCACCAGTCCCTTTACTTGGAGCTAGAGGGATCCAAAGGCATCACACAAACTAGGAGCTAAAATAAGCCAGACACTTTCTCTTCTCCCCTCTTTCTTTTAGCTGTGCTGGTGAATGGGGTCTCTGAGAGCATCTGCTTCAATATACAGAACAGAGAAAGGATTCTCTCTTTTTGCTCGGTCTTCTCTCAATTCTTAATCCCTCTATCTTGTCACTGCTGCCCTAAGATGTCAGATCATGCCCAGTGTAAATGCTAAATAGAAGTTCAAAAAAAAAAAAGAAGGAGGGAGGATGGGTACAAAGAATACAGGGAAATAGCCATGAGGGCATAGAGTTGGGAATACTGGATTGTTTTCTAGTTCTATTCTAGTTCACTGGAACCCCCTATCACACACCACTTAAGACCCCAGTTCGTATTTATTTCCTCATTTTTCAAACACCATTCTATGCCATTACTGGATACAGAACTGAAGATGCAGAGAGCTAAGAGGAGATGCTAAGAGAAGCACCAGTCATAATAGCCAAAGCAGACAGGGCTCAGTGTTCTTAAGGGCTCCTCAAACTGACCATCACACACCAATCTCCACAAAAATAAATAAGAAGGCTCAAGAAAGCCCAACCTGACTCCTGCCAAACCAGAAACCTTACTGCCCACACTGTCCCTTCAATTAAGAGGAGGAGTCTTGGGATCTATGGCCAGGGGGTCAGGGAAACTTTCTCAGGGACTGTATCTATGCCAGCCCGACATTCTTGTATATGGCCAAGTGGGTTTAAAAAGCTATATAATTTCATGTGCAATTTATTTAAACACACCTTTCAGAACACAGATTTGGTGACTGCAAACAAAAGCTTGGGTTGATGGGGCCCTGGCAGGGTAGCTTGGTTGGTTAAAGCATCGTCCCCATATGCCAAGGTTGCGGGTTCAATCCCTGGTCAGGGCACATACAAGAATCAACCAATGAATTTGTATAAGCAAGTGGAACAACAAATGGATGTTTTTCTCTCTCTTCCTCTCTCTCTAAAATCAATAAAAAAAAATGAAAAAGAAAAGCTTGCGTTAGTGGTCTCAAGCAAATCCAAAGCAGAGGACTTAAGGGAAGCCAGTGGGTAGATAAGGGACACAGAAGCTAGAAGACTGTGAAAGCCACGGATTTCACCAGGGACCTACAGCATTTATGGCTCCTGTGGGGACCACATCCAGTGAGGAGCAAGCTGTGCTGGGCATCCGTGACTAGATCTGACATCCTCCTATAGCGAGTGGTTTCAATACACACGGTTCTGTCTGCTTATAGCCACGAAGGGTGTTCTATAGAGGCAGCAACAAAGGGGACAGCCAGATGATCTAACAGCCTCATAACCACAAAATGTAAGGAGCACACGAAGCCAGCAGCCGAACCACATTCAGAATGCAATCCTGACTCCTAACACACTGATCACTTCCCTCGAACAAAGTGACTGTGTTTGCTTCACTGAGTCACGAGTCGGGGACCGAGAGCCTGCTCTGACTTTAGGAAGAGGTCCTGACAACGGAATGTGGGAGCTGATTAGCAAGGATGCCACCAGAGCTCCCAATGTATTCGTAGCTGGGTTATCCAGGGCTATGTTTACTAATGTGGCTTCTGAAAATTGCAGCTCCTCCACGGAGGATGCTTTCTTTCTGTAATCATAGCATTTCATCCCTGCAAACCTCATCCATTACTAGGATGGGCTTGCCTTTTTTTCTGTGGCCATTTCTTCATTTAACACGTTGCAATAACCCCTCAGAAAGTGTTTATTATGTTTCTGAACTTCTCCCATGCCTTAATTTAGCTTCACTAGAAAATCAACCAATGTTTAAATTCAATATGTACACTGTTTTCATCACAGACACTTTCTGCTTTGATGGCTTTGGAAAATTACAGCTTCTCCAAACCACACCTATATTTGGGGAGGGAGACTGCTGACTTCTTCACAACAACTCTATTTTCCTTCCACCTGGGACATCTGCTTAGTGTTCAGTGAAATATGATGTTAGACTTCATTCCTTTGTCCAGACAGCACAGGATTTGTAAGTTTCCTTTGTTATAAACCAGGGTACACTAGGGTCTGGGATGATCAACAGCTCTCTTGAGAAATGACTCTCCCTGGAGAAGCTGTAAATCCTGCTGAAGACACTTTCAGTATCTCACACTGTCTCAGCAAAAAGCCACTCTCTTTCCAACTGCTAAAAACCAGGGTCATCCTTGACTTCTTTCTCTTAAACCCGTATCCAATTTATTAGCACATCCTGTTGGCCCTACCTTCAAAATGTGTCCAGAATCGAACCACCCCTCGCTTCTTTCTCACTCGCCACCACCACGGGTCAAGTTCCTACAATGCCCACAAGGCCCCATGGGATCTGTGGCTGCACCTAGACCTACACAATTCTACCAGCCGCACTGGCCTCCTGCTCTCTCTTGAACTCACTGTGACTGAGCTATTTCCTTGGCCAGCTATTCCCCATCCACAGGGCTCACTCCCTCATCTTGATTTCTGTTCAAATGCCTTCTCATTAAGCAGCCTTTCTGGCCTCTCTATAAAATAGTACCTACCCCCATAGTCCTCACTCTTCCTCAGCTTTACCATTCATCTGACAGCTGCCGGGATTATCACCATGTGACAAGTTAAACATTTCCTTACCAGTCGTCATCCCTTATACAGTGCACGCTCTTGGAGAAGAACTGTTTTGGTCACTGCTCTGACCACAGTGCCTGGTACACAACAGGGGCGGGGCACTTGTAGAATGAATGCATACGTGAGTACGTAAAGGTAAAACAGCAGAGTCAAATTCCCAATAATAACGTTAAGTCAGCAGAAAATGAATTTTTTTTATGCACAAAGATATGCATTTTATGAACACATTTTCTTTCCCCCAAATCCAAAGAAAAACAGAGAATACGCTAGATTTCAGTTGACACGTGGAAGCGTACTGAAGACCGTGAGAGAGCAGCTGTTCGACACAGTTTCCCGGGTTCCCTGCAGCCGAGCGCTTACCTTCGGGGCGCACTGGAAGTGCATCCCGGGCACGGGCAGGGTGGTGACGTACATGGTGATGCAGCGGTACAGGTACAACGTTCCGATGATGAAGAAGAACCTGCGCCCCACTATTGACCTGAGGGCACAACGGAGATGGGGAAAGACAAGGTCACTGGTGGTTTCTGTTCCCAGTGCTGTATAAAGAGCGTTTAGCAGGATAAAACCAACACGGAGTGGCACCGGCAGACCAGGGTTCCCGGCGCACGTCTGAGCCGCCCGTCCCTGCGGCCTGCACATGCTGTCATCAGTCCAGGGGGGCTGGGCCCCCAGCAGTGAGTCTGTGGGGACGAGGGTTCTAGACAACCGCCTCTCCTAAAAAAGCCACACTCTGCGAGACAATTCAATGAGCCTCTCTGTTTTCAGTCAACTCGGTGCATTAATAAACCCTTCTCCTGAGAACACGTCGAAGGTATAAGCAACCCACAGTCACTGAGGAATTAACTAATCAGCTCAGGTGATGCCACCTAATTGGACACAAAGGGAAATGGGACAACTCATTTAACCTGTTATATAAGAAGCAAGGTTTATTTGGGGACCATCCAAAAGTATTTTGACAACCTGGGCATGGACTATTTTGTCTATGACTACACTACAGATTTTCAGAGAATTGTTCAGAGGGTCTTCACGCATTTTAGAATATTTAATAGTGGAGTTTCAAACTGATCAGTTTACCCTTAATTTATTCAATCTTGAACAAAAAAGGCAAAAAAACCACCCGCCTCGCAAGCCCTTTTTCACTTTATAGTTTTGGTGGAGATAGCTGTCTTGACTAACGTTAGTCCCTGACCGATACCACCGATGTCCTCAGTCTAAGGCAGTGGTTCCCAGCAGCTGACCCTGAGCACACGGTCTGCACCGCTGCTTCAAGGGTACTGAATGGGCATCGAGGGTTCTGAGCACCCTCACTTCCAGCTGAAGATGACAGCTCCTCTTCCGAGGTGTAGTTAGGGGCTGGGTCTACAAACTCTGGGCTCTGGGGATTAAGAGATGGACAGGTGGGATCCATAAAGACCCTAGAATTACCAGTTGTAACTTCCCTAGCACAAACTGTATTATTCCAGGTGTCCCACTTACGGAGCTCTCAAACTTTCAAAACTGGTGGTCAAAGACTGGACAAACAGGCAGTTTTAGGCACATGGCATATTTTTATTATTTATTTAATAATGTATGTATTTATGTTTTAATCCTCACACAAGTACATTGATTTTAGATGTTTACTGATTTTCGAGAGAGGGGAAGGGAGAGAGAGAAACATTGATGTGAGAGAGAGACATTGACCAGTTGCCTCCCACACGTGCCCCAACTGGGGATGGAACCTGCAACCTAGGTATGTGCCCTGACCAGGAACTGANAATACTTCAACAATAAAGATAAATTAAAGAAAAAGAAAAGTGCTAAAGTTCAACAAACACAGTTTACCTTTAGCATAAGCATTCCATAACTGACAACTTTAGCAGCAAAAAGTTCTACTAAGTAAAAGAAAATTTACTTACACGTATTAAGGAAACATTGAGAGAGACACTTAGGAACGACTTGTTTGTGGACTAAGTTTTCAGAACTGCAAACTTGCATGTAGGGGGCCATCTGGCAAAGAGAGATTGAATTCTTCTAATCGCAAAGCAACAACCAACTGAAAGTGATCTTGTGGCATCAGTATTAAAATCCTACTGAACTCTGGATTGTTGAATTGCACTGGAGAAATCGGCGCACATTGCATTTTCCACAGTCTCAGTTTATGGCCAATGTCTTGATCAAACCCATATTTTAGTTATTTATTTACTAGAATCTTAGTAAAGAACAAATATCTAAATGATGAATAAGATGAGAAGGGAAGTAGAGGGGCTTTATTTTTTATGGAATTAACAGGAAGGCAAAAACAACCACTTCAGAGCTATGTCCTATTTTTAAGTGTCTTCAAAGCAAAAGTACCTGGCTTAGTACCTCCTGATTCNAGGACGGCACTCCAGCAAACATAGTGACACAGGCCAGGGCGCATATTTTAAATTTTCTGTAAGACTGTGGTCTGAAATGTATCAGGTAACTGCTGCGACTTCTCATTTAAAGAATCATGTACAAATATAATTTTAGATGCCTATTTCCAGTAGCTATTTTAAGAATATTCCAGGGTTTCTGGGGTCAAAATAGAAACACTACCTTGATGAGCTGATGAAAGTATGGATTTACTGCAAGGCTCTGCTTTCAAAGGCTTGCCATTCAGGCTCTGCCTTTTCTAGCACTGAAAAGGGACAAGTGATAGTGCTGAGTCTCTCCATTTGGTTAAGTGAAAAACAATTCACTTTTTGATTCAACCCCAGGCTCCTAAAGAGTTCTGAACTGTGCTCCATGTGTTAGACAAGGGGAAATGATAAGCAGGAATTATTATGAGGCAGTTATGTTCATTCCAGTGTTCTGAGTCCAGCTGTAGAGAAAACTAAGAAGATGAAACATACACTCTGCAGCCTTGTTTAGGAAGAGCCACCACCGATGACTTCTCCCCATAGCTGGGAAGGAGGTTTGGAGACAGAGACAGACGGGGGTGGGGAGATTTCTCATTCAGCTGAGATGTTCAAACAGGTTATAAAAATTACTCCACTAGTTCCTAAAATAAAAGCTCCAATTCTACCTCAAAAATAAAAAGGAAAATTAGTGTGATTTCCCCAGCAAGTTTTTGGTGATGGGTTGTGATGGAAGCGGTAGATATGACTAAAATATGTGGCCAGCTGTATGACCACACGTTTTGACATGGCAAAATCTCAGGTAATAATGGAGAGGCAGTCAGCAACTCTCAGGTGAAGATTCAGGCAAACTGAGATTGTACTTTAGGTTGGAAGCTGGAAGACTTCTTTTCACACATATGTGAATAAAACTTGGCTATCAACATCTTTGGCCCAAGCAGTCTCTCTTATATTCAGTGTCAATTCCAGGCACGGTGAAG